AAAAATAGCCTCATAGGCCATTTTCAATAAATTGACAACGAGAATGTGCATATTCAAGAATTAAATTCGGGTCTATATTTTGCTATACGTCAATTTTCATCATATCTGAGTGATTCCATGTGCAGTTCGAATTGTACCTATAGCACTAAGTCAATGATCCAATTAATCAATAACAACGGAGCCCAAGTCTTTTCAAAGAAGTCGTTTCCTCATGGAACAAGAACACGTTAAGGTAACTGAGTTCGTTTTACGGATGAGCGTTGATGGAAGGAAATCTGCAGCATCGCAGGAATTAATATGAAAAATTATCAGATTTAGTCGTCATCTATGGAGAAGAGTTAGACGAAACACTGACCTTGAGCCAACTACGTATGAATATATAATATAGTTCTGTAGGTAATGCAAGCCAGGATTCACTGTCATGGCTTTAGTCGCAGTAGCGGAATAGAACAATTATATAAATAATTTCAGTGCTTTCTGTCAACCTGAGTTGCCAACGATATGACGAATATTTTCAGTTTAGTTGTAAACGAAACGCAATAAAAACTGAAATTGGTCTTTTACACCCGTTTCGTTTTCGTTCAGAATAATTTCCTAAAGGATGAAGTTATCAATAATCATCAGGACATTTATTGCTCAAATTGCACATTGATATTCTGCATTAATTGAGTTATCTTTAAAATGAATGGCAATCGAGCAACGCTCCTGAGCGAAATTTATTTGCCCACGAACCTATAAACATAATCTATATCCGCAGTCACCCAAAATATCAGAGCAATTATTAAATCATATAAGTGCTCGCGGAATCTGAGAATTTTCAGATGGTGCTCGAGGGCCATTGCTTGGCACAGTTAGTGTTTAAAAGCATATTGTTCAGTACATCACTTAAATACGGTGCGGTATCTACGCATTGTACGTTCTCTACTCCGTTCGAGCGGTGACCTTACTGAAAAGGTCCGCAGGCGTCCAAAAACAATAGCGTGATTGCGGTAACGAGACTGAATAGTTTGCAAATTAGCTAGTCAGACGGTATGAACAGATGAACTAATATAACTTCCAAATCTATTTATTAAAATGTCGTTGCGTTCATGATTTGGTCCTGAGACAGTATCCCGTCGTTCATTACCATTACACACTAGTCGCTTCCTACTTTTGGGAAGTTGCTTTAATGAGGTAGATGTTATCAAGTTCAGTCTGTTTATCCCTGGCCTACGAGGCACAGTCGTATACCGGTGAGTAAACACTTTCAGCCAGGTAGTAATTAAACTTGATATGTATAACGTGCGGACTCAATGCCAGAGAGGGACGTTGGCAAAAGCGCAATCCAAAAGCTTAGCAGAATCGAGTTTTCCTATCTATCTTCAACCTGAGCCGTACCTTTCAAAGTAGATTCGAGTACGAACAACCGGCATCTCCACGGAGGGGGGATTCAAGAGCGTGCGAAGGTGTGCAAAGTTTTTGTCCGTTGATTTGAAAGAATTCCATGAAATTCATGCCTAAACATAGAGAAAAGACGTGAGGGAAAGCATATTCTCTGGCAGGTGAGGTTCGAAACTCTACTTTGAGCACAAGTTTCAACCTCCAGTGAATCAAGCATGCTTTAAATGGGAAATCCATTGGAAAGTCAAAACAAGAAATGGCAAAAATGCAAAGGGAAAATCAAATCTTCCTCTACCTTAGTACAATGCGCAACACGTAAGAAGTTTCAAACTGTCGACGCCTTTAATGTTCTTCAAAACTGATCATTACAAATCTATCAGTCAGAGCAGTAACGAATCAAATGGTGGTTAATGTTTGGTCAGAAGAAAGATTTTGCCCCTTTTCCTACCTCATCATGTCGTATAACTTTAGAGGCTTCGTCTGCATTCGTAATGTCTGATGAGACATGCATTGAAAACAATAAAATTCATCATCTATACATTTGCCATAAATACGTTACTGCTTGCATAAACATTTTCAACGATGGGTAAATTCAAGAACGTTTTGCAGCAAACGAATTAAATTTCTTATAAATTCACATGTAAGTCAGTTATTGCATGTAGTATTAAGTGCAGGTTCATCGATTGTAAGGTTACGTTTATGCCTTCGTACATCGCAGCATTAAAAAAGTGTTTAGTTCGTCGAAGGCCACATTTTGTGGAATACTGCTTTGTAGTTAGTTCCCTAAGAAACTATAGATTTAAGCTGGGTTAAAAGAAAACTATTTGAGTACCAACAGTGCTAGACACATCTAACATCACTTTTGTCACTGCAACACTCAGAGGCTCCTAATGATTGGTGCGTCACAACTTGCTATTTCTAACATTCCAGGACATGAGCATAAGCATGTACGGGATTGGAGAACCGAGAAAAAAGTTTTTCAACATGATATTTCTCAATTTATAGCATCTTATTGCATCTTGAGCTTTTCAAGCTCATTTAAATTGAGTTCCTCTGTGGCAAACTTAGGAGATTTAAAAAAAAATCTTTTACGGTAATTAAAACTTTTATTATGTCTTATTCAGCATAACAGTATATTCCTCATCAGATAAACGAGTGTAAAACCAAGAAGAGATGCGAAAGACTTTCCTCATTACTTCCATTTCGCAGAGCGTGTAAACTATTATCAGGAAACATTACTCTCTGAGTATTCCGTCTTGAAATAATTAAATGAATGTAAATATTTTCCCGTGTTTAAATACTATCAGCTTCACAATGTGACTTATTTTTCTACGCGAAAATTAATGCAATTGAGATTATAAAAATTCTGTCAACTCAAAGCTGTCGCCACTTCCACGACCACGAGGCTGAAATCAAAGATATTCCTTGGCTCTATTGGACGTTGTCACGGTTGACGTGTTAGACTCATTAGAAACATAATTGATTTCCTTATCAACACAGATTAATCAAAGCAGGAACCATAACTGTTAAGATAAGTTTCTGAGTTATGTATAAAAAGGGTTTTTTTCATTCTTAGGGCTTGACAGATTTTTTAATGTAGCTACCTAATTAAAATAGATAATGCACTATGTTTAAATGCAATGGCGGCAGCACCATCATGAGTTTTTTTTCTTGGCTAGGTGGCATATCGACCTGTGGTCTCTTCTATACAGAGTACGGATGTCAGTCTCTTCTATTCAGTGTCCAAACTGTCATTGCTAGGCGGAAGCACAATTCTGTCTTGTCCTTGTTCACTCCGATAATGTATAATAGATTCTCAAGTACTGTCTTACCTATAGACTCCCAATGCATGCTGAAGCTGCATACACAACAAGTAGCAGGATGCAGCAATAATTTCTGGTTTACTACGATTTGAAAGAGACAACGAGTCCAGCCCTTGCAGGCTGCCACTCATAGATGTGATCCCATGTTCAGATGTTTATCAATCGTCACATATGCTATGGACATTTAATATTCCAGACCCGAGAGTAAAATTAGATGACGCCTTCTGTAAGTTTTATCATATTGCATACCCAGGGCAGCAATCTACCATAAAAGACTAAAGGGTTACACTTTCTAGCTGTGTTGTGAACATCAGTGAGCGTCCATGTTGAACGCACATCAGTGGGAAAAAAGTCATCAGGAATTGAATCGAAGTTGACTTATAAATTTTTTGAGATTTCTTAAATCAGGAATTAATTTCGTTTAGGACAAATTCAGGAATGTACTCTTATTACTGTTCCGTTGGACCATGCCAAATAACGAAAATTTATTGGATTGTCGAACAACTATGACTGTTGCCTATATCAAACAAAACAAACAGCACTAACGTTGTCCCTAGCATACTACTACTTTTCATATTTTAGTGTTTACAGTCACAGGTGTATATTGATTCTTAGACTCATAAAAATAAATATAATAAAAATTACGTTCAAACCACGAACTACCAGACAACATGTAAATGACCAATCATCCGATCTAAATCCGCTGTTACAATTACTACACAAAGCATGAAACCCGTTACTGCATTGAAAGATTACAAGTATTATGTGCAGTTCATATCCTTTATTGCGTAGGAATTTAGCTACCTGGGATTTTCACCGTTCGAAGATGCTTCGAATTCCTCAGTCCGTTTTAGTAGAGGCAAAAGAAGGTTGTCTATGTCAACCGTAACCTTGCATATTATATGCTTTTAATCATTGTGCAGTTTCTTTCATTTATTATTATTGCTGTTCGCTTAATCACAAAAACATACTATACCCACCTAAAGCGTGCGCAACAAGCCTGTCGGGGAAGATTGGAGTCAACACCACGAGTGCAGAACTTCTGAAGGCATCAGCCAGAGGATACTGTGGAATGATTTTGTTACAGAACAAGGGCGAACTATTCCAAGTACCTCAGAACTGTATTGGCTAATGATGAAGTCTTTGATCTTGATATGAATTGGCACACTTAATTGCCTCACCGACTTTTGACGAGCGGCATGAAATATTGAAATATCAGTTTATAAGCACAAACATGAAGAGCACATAGTACCTGATTGCCTTAAACATTTCCTATAAAATTGTATATCCTCAATGAGGCAGTGATTTCAATGACTCACGTATGAGCAGACCTTGATGACCGCAGATGCGATGGTATAATTAACGGATGAATTGAAGCAAAATACGTAGTTTTGTTTTACGTAAGGACCCAAATTGAGAATTAACATATTCTCGAAAAGTTTATCCATTGTTATGAGGAGTGTTTGGTGTCAGTACAAAATTTGAACATCCTTTCAGTGGTACGGCTTCTGATAAAACATTACCTTCGAACGTTGGAGACGCTAAATCCGGATATCCTAATGCTTTGTTTCAGCTAGACTTTAATAATAACAACAAACAATAGTATCAACTTCTCAGATGACGTGGGGCTCGCGCTTCATTCATCTCGCAAATATGATTTTTAACGTGATGAAAGTTTTTAATAGCTTTTTCGAATGTCACAAGTTGGCCGTTATCAAGCGATTGAAGTTCCGCAACGGCTGCCAGCTAGGAAATGCGTTTAGTGTGATTCAATAAACAAGCTTAGGCCAGCCAGATATGGTAGAGGCAGCCGATTGGGTGCGATTTGTTATGTGTGATGTTTGTCAGAAAACATACAGTCAAAAACTAATTCTCATGTCCATAAATACCGTGTTATCGCCTGGAACGTTTCAAAGTTGCTTAAGTCGAGAGAGCTGACGTCTTGACGCGAACGTTTTCCAGTAGTCGACCATGCAGACGACTATTCTTTTTTGCCTATTCTCGTTTGCAGTAGGGGCTTACTATGAAGACACCTATGAGCAGATGAAAAAGGATATGAAGGGAAAACGTATTCCTTGGCAGGCAAGTTGTGTAAAATTCACTGTGGCCGGAAACTTCTATTTAATGTGTGATTTAGCACGGTTTGAATGACAGGCTCCTTGGAATGTCAAAGGAAAATATCGCAAGAATGTATGGCACCCAACTGCTGTCGGAAAAGTTTCATTTACCACCCCCTCCAATCAATTCACAAAAAATGCGAAATTTCGAGCCTCCTACAGACTTTGACGCTCGCCAGAAGTGGTCAACTTGTGAATCCTTAAAGCTAATTCGAGACCAGTCAAACTGTGGCTCATGCTGGGTAAAGATAGCAGTTTCAAATAGCTTTACATATCTTAAAATTTAAGGCGGTTTCTTCTGCATCTGTGATGTCTGACCGAATATGCATAGCCAGTAATGGAAATCACCAGCCATACATTTCAGACGAATTTATTACGGCTTGCTGCCGTTTTTTCAGCTATGGGTAAGTCGACACGGGTTTAATTAATGGTGGTGCATATTCAACGTTCTTATGACTCTGTGCATTATTTTTTGCCTACTGAAATGTTTATCGAGCAGTCATTCTTAAAACTGCGGTACAGATAAATGAAAGCAGCAAACTGGGTTGCGTCGGCAAAACAGAACTGTTTTTATCGAGGATGCTCAAGTAGTCCATTAATAAATTCTACCGTACGAACCAACTGCCCACCTTTCCGCAGTTTATTGACAGTGGGTCTGTTTTTGTGACATTCTTTAGCCGCTCATATCTGAATGTTTCTCGTTTGTGATGAATGCTGCACTTTCAGTTCTAGAATAGTGCTGTTATGCAGCAGCTGTTACTTCGTTGTAGATGGAACAGGTTCCACCTGGAAGTGGTTCGCCTCTACCTTGTTCTTCTACGTTCAAACCTGACGTGATGCGCTGTGAATAAACTGCTACATCAGCTCGTTATTCTGAATAGTAGTCGCTTCATATGTTGTCGCTCCAGTAAGAAAGTTGAGGGTACCTGTAGAAACGAGTTGAACAAGTTAAATCTTAATTTTCGTCGACATCTTTCTTGATTTATGAACAATGATCGATTGCATACCTTCGCCTGCATAAAATACTTATGTACATTTGCAACTGTTGTTCTTTCAGTTTCTAAACAATTTTTTCATTTAAGATGCCAGTAATACTAGCTCATGAAATATCTTTCGTGATGAGCACGAGGTGGATCTGGCAAATAAAACCATACGCGAGGTATCTGATATTGCAGATGTTCAAACAGCATGGAGCCATGGCCTGTTTAAATAACCTAAGCATCACGGAACGAGGGCGGTACAATATGCAATGAACTTTGGCATTGAAGGAGTGATGAGTTTTCATTGTGTACGACGTGATTTTAAATGATTTACTTCAGTCGGAAGATGAAAGGCTTACCAGTACCGATTTCTGGCCATGTGACCGTGCCATATAAACCCAGCGAAAAGAGTATGTAATGAACAGTTTGAATCTACTAGCTCAAAGTAGCACATACTGGCAAGCACAATAGACAGTTTAGGATATGTACAGACTAGGGCATTTCAGTTGGCACTTCGAATAGATGGCTGTTTTCTTACTTGTGATACAGGTAAGGGTGGGCTTAATGGCTCATCGACCTCAGTGATGAGTATGATATGAAGGAGACGACTTTATGAAACATTTAAGTACTTACTGCATCAATAATAGACACGCTAGCATCTCTGCTTTTAGTAAGTTTGGTTACCTTTTCCACTGTTCTCCACTTTACGTCATTGTCATCACAAGTCAAGACGTTCCGGCAATGATTGTTCTTATATGAGCCATTTTATGGAATCACGACAGTCATCGATCATTTTCATCTTTAAAAAGTTTTTAAACTCCAATGGTTTCTGTTTGAGAGGCGACCATATCGAATTGCTTCTAGATTCGTAGTTTTCAAAATAAGAGATATGAAAGCAACATAAATTATTTGATTCTCGAGACTTTTCGATGCCACCCACCGGCATCATCATCACAGAAGCAACAGACAAACGGAACGGGTTGAAGTTGCGAAAATTTTCTTTTGATGTAATGCTTTTGGAAGCAATGCTAACAGTCATTTACTAGTTCCAGAATTTTGACCTATGATAGTTGCCTTCATCATTGTTAGAATCATACTTGTGCTGCAGGTGTTTACCGCATAGTAATATAAGATACTGGCATGCAAGTTCAGTAAAATTGCAGATTAGGTTCATGTTTTTAATTTTCTACAACTTGCAAGAGTCATTACAGTAGTACAAAGATAGTACGCATTTATACCGGGGCAATTATAAGCTGTGCAGTGCTGCGACGGAAGATGATTCCTGGAAGATCGCTTTTATAGAGCAATTATTTTTAGTTATGGCTAAAATATGAAAAAATTGAATTATCCTTATCGCTAAGGTTAGCAAATCAAAATATGAGTGCAGATTGGTTTTCCGAGCGAAGTAAAGAACTATGTATGATGAAACGCTTAAAAGATTAGTAACTTTTCAAATGGAAAAGTTTAAAGAATGAAATGTTATTGATGGCATGTTTAGATGCCAAGGAGGCAGTCCCTTAGGAGCTTTCCTATTCTGGCAATTCGGGATACCGACCGGTGGTCCATTTAATACAACATATGGATGCCAACCGTACACGATTTATTGCAATGGCTGCAAGTACACTGCTCCAACACCACCCTGTTCACATGAGTGCATACCAGAGTACCACGGCACGTTTGAAAATTCGCTGTACTATGGTAAGCCTAGATACGAAAAATTGAGTATGCGCTGAATCAACTCGTGCTTAAGGCACCAACGTGCACTGGATAAGAAACAATACGATGGCACAATACGAAATAATGAATGCAGGACCGATTGATGTAACGTTTTTGGTTTATACGGACTTTATGTATTACAAAGGAGGTAATTCATCACATCAATTAAACGCTGCAACTTTTTTATCGATTATAAGTTATCTGCACTGTCTATTTTACAGGAATATATCAACATGTGTGGGGAAAGTTTGAAGCTGCTCACGCTGTAAGGCTGATTGGTTGGGGCATCGAAGAAAATGAACCGTATTGGTTGGTGACGAATTCGTGGGGTACAAAGTGGGGAATGAACGGTATGACACAAATGTCGCAGCTCAAGGTTCTATTCGCACTTATAGGGTTATTCAAAATTCGACGCGGGATTAATGAATGCGATATTGAAGAAAATATGCTTGCTGGAGATGCAAAATTATAAAATTGGAAAAACTGGTGTTTTCATTAAGAA